CTCTGTCACCAGGCTGGAGTGCAATGGCGTGATCTCAGCTCACTGCAACCTCCGCCTCCCAGATTCAAGTGATTCTCCTGCCTCAGCCTCCTGAATAGCTGGGACTACAGGCGTGCGCCATCACACCCAGCTAATTTTTGTATTTTTAGTAGAGACGGGGTTTCACTATGTTGGCCAGGATGGTCTTGATCTCTTTACCTTGTGATCTGCCCGCCTCGGCCTCCCAAAGTGCTCTACTTTTGATTAAGTTCATTTTTGTTGGTTTCATGTAGGAATGTTAAATATGCACTCATTCCACCAAATTCCCTTTATATCCTTACCATTACTTTATAAACCATTTACATTTCTATTGCAGGGAGCCACTGACAGAGAGAATCACTGGAAATGATAGTTTTATACTTAATTCTTGTCACTAGAACTCTAATAGTGTTTTTAAAAACCTAATACAAGCCCAGGCATGGTGGCTGACACTTCTAATCCCAGCATTTTGGGATGCCTAGCCAGGAGGATTGCTGGAGGCCAGAATTTTAAAACCAGAACCGCCTGGGCAACATAGTGAGACCCTGTCTCTGGAAAACACACACACACACACACGAAAACCTAATAGTCAAATGCATACAACTGTATATACTATGCTGAAACAGTGTGAATAACAACAAAATACATACATACATATATATACACAAACACACACACACACGAAAACCTAATAGTTAAATGCATACAACTATTTTTATAACTTTTAATTTTTACACTTAGTTGTCCAATTCTCCAAAATATGAAGTCCTCTGTAGAAGTGATTCCAGACCTTCAGAGCCATGGTGAACTTTGTGAATGAAAAATGTAATGAGCACCACCACCTTGTCTGTTTTAGCAGCACATGATCATATAATTGAAAACTGTTGAACAGGAATATCTCATCATAAATAAGTTAATAGATTCTATAAAAAATCTACTAAGCATCTATCATGTTCTAGGTGCAGCCTGAGGAGATCACAGTAAACCAGTCAGGCATGATACCTAGCTTCATGAAATATATAGTCAATCTCTTCTACTTTATAAGGCCCGGACTCTCTTAGACTTCACTGATTAGCATCCAGGCTAAATGGATAATCTCTGGATCTTCATTTGAAGGATAATAAGGCTGGATTTGCTACTTGGGCTTTTTAGGGGCTGGGAAGATGTTACTTTAACAAAAGCAAGTGTCCAACAAAATCTTAAAGCCAGTTAATAGACTGACCACTTAAAAAGAACAACAATAAAAAAAAAAAAAGAAAAATAAATAGACTGACCACTTTAAGCTGAGAAATCTTACATAGTTCTCTGGGATATAAAACACTACTAATTTAATACACACATGCCCCACCTTATTTTGAAGCTATGTGTTAGGGATGATATGCTTGTCATCCCCCAAAAAGAAAACAAAGCAACTTGCTATTCACTTGATTCATTTTTTATGTGAATTGAAAAATGACACTAAAGAAAAAAAGAATGGGGATATAGAAATAGCTTATTTTTTAAGGAATAAACATAACCTTTCTAAATTCCAGAAAATTACTATTACACCTCTGGGATTTAGAAAGATTATGTTTCTTCCTTGAACAGTAAGTTTAACTATGTTTTTACTATAATACATCTGGGATTTAGAAAGGTTATGTTGGCCAGGCTTGGTGGCTCATGCCTGTAATCCCAGCACTTTGGGAGGCCAAGGCGGGTGGATGACCTGTCAGGAGTTCGAGACCAGCCTGGCCAATATGGTGAAACGCTGTCGCTAAAATAAATAAATAAATAATGTCTCAAAGTTAAAAAAAAAAAGAAAGAAAGAAAGGTTATGTTTCTAAATCCCAGGACAGAAGCTGTAGCTAATGATTTTTGGAGGATCCTTCTCACTCTAGACACAATGATTCTCGTTACGTGGATAGTATTCACCTATGGAATGTATCATATACGAACCACTAAGGAACACACACTCTTGCAGATGTCTGTAGATTGTTAATTGCTTTATATTTGGAGCACCCCTTCCTTCAACCAGCATAAATATTTGAGGGTGGGCTGGGTTTAGAAGATGTTTGGTCCCCAATGGCTGTAACATGATGCACTACCCTTCTATGCAAATTTTGATTTAAGAAAGGCTTTTATTTTTCAAAGGAAACCACATGAAAGCAGTCTTAAAGATTCAATAGCAGTTGATCCTACAGTGCCAGGTAAGAACTCTGAAGTAGTATGTGGGATTATATGTATGTGTAAATATATTTGTATACAGGGAGGTTGCAAAAAAAGAGTATTTATAATTGTCCAAAGAGCTTCCAAAGAGGAGCAGCATTGCAACAGTGTTCTGTAGGAGCAAAAGTCAAGGTTCCTGTGACTTCTCTAGAGTGCAGGCAGGACCAAACTGATCGTAGGCAACATGTCTTAGGTACAAGCAAACCGGCCCATAGAAGCACCAATCAGCAAGCTTCTTGCCTGAGATTTTTTTTTTTGAGACGGAGTTTCACTCATGTTACTCAGGCTGGAGTGCAATGGCGCGATCTCGGCTCACCGCAACCTCCGCCTCCTGGGTTCAGGCAATTCTCCTGCCTCAGCCTCCTGAGTAGCTGGGATTACAGGCACGCGCCACCATGCCCAGCTAATTTTTTGTATTTTTAGTAGATATGGGGTTTCACCGTGTTGACCAGGATGGTCTCGATCTCTTGACCTCATGATCTACCCGCCTCGGCCTCCCAAAGTGCTGGGATTACAGGCGTGAGCCACCGCACCCGGCTGAGATTTTTATTTTTATTTTTATTCATTTTATTTTATTTTATTTTATGGAGACAGGGTCTCACTCGGGCACCCAGGCTGGGATACAGTGGCAAGATCATGGCTCACTACAGCCTCAACCTCCCAGGCTTAAATGATCCTCCCATCTCAGCCTCCCCTGTAGCTGGGACCACAAGCGCATGCCACCATACCTGGCTAATTTTTGTATTTTTTGTAGAGACAGTGTTTTGCCATGTTGGCCAGGCTGGTCTCGAACTTCTAGCCTCAAGCAATTCGCCTGCCTCGGCTTCCCAAAGTGCTGGGATTACAGGCATGAGTCACTTTGCCTGGCCTCTTTGCTGAGATTTTTAAAATGGGAAACTATAAGATTCCATGGTGCTTCTAACGAGCACACATTATGTCTACGTCCCTAGACATAATGTTTCAAGTGGGGCGCTTTGGACACATGCTTCCCACATTCTGATTTTTTGGCAAAACCTATGAGATGATCGCAATGTGGGAATCATGGATGGCTGTGGAAGGTCCTAACACATTCGTAGTAGACAGGCAGAACCATGGAGTGAAAAGGGAATGGTGTTGAGAATGAGGGAGATGTGACGATGAATCCTAGTTGTGCCCCCTTTTTCTTCTGTCCATAGTGATGGCATAGGGTGAAGCCCAATGGTTTCAAAAGGCAAATAATCTGAGTGAGCAGCTGAGAGCAGCTTATACCAGCACCAGTTTCTGCCACATGTCTTTGCTTGATATCTCTTCCAGTCTGGCGACGGACCACTTACTGGGCTGTGATCTGTGCATTGCTTCAAAACACATTAGCAAGTCTGTACAAGAGCCCCTGGTGCTGCCCGAGGTCTTTGACAACTTGAATTCTGTTATGTGTGTGGAGGGTGAAGCTGGGAGCAGAAAGATGGTCCTCCTGAGGAAAACAGCTTTCCTGTGGGCATTCGGATGCTGTCCCATTCAACAGGTTCTAGCTCGTTTTCTACCTCTCCCTTAGTTCCACCAGACCAGACTAGGGGCTGGCCAGTGTCGTCTGTGACCAATTCCCAGAGAAAGAAGGATCTGTTACTGAAATGCACATGAGGAACATCCTCCAGCAGTTAAAGAATCAGGTCTTATTCCTTTTAGATGACTACTAAGAAATATGTTCAATCCTCCAAGTCATAGGAAAACTGATTCAAAAAAACCACTTGTCACAGACTTATTGATTACTGTCCGTATAGACAGGGCCAGGGATATCTGTCGATACCTAGAGATGATTGTAGAGATCAAAGTGTTTCCCTTTTATAATACTATGTATATATTACAGAAGCTCTTTTCATGTAATATGACTTGTCTGCAAAAGTTTATGGTTCACTTTGGAGTGAATGAAGCTTTGCAGGGGATACAGAAAACACCCCCACTTCGTGGCGGTGATCTGTGCTCGTTGGTTTCGGTATCCTTTTGACCCATCCTTTTATGATGTGGTTGTTTTCAAGTCCTATATGGAATGCCTTTTCTTAAGGAACAAAGTGACAGCTGAACTTCTCAAAGCAACTGTGATGAGCTGGCCTTGAAAGGATTTGTTTTCATGTTGCTTTGAGTTTAGTGATGATGATTTGCAGAAGCAGGGGTTGATGAGATCTAACCATGTGCTTGATGGGCAAATTTATAGCCCGAGACTAAGAACATCCTATTGGTTTTTAAATCCTGCATTCCAAGAATTTCTTGCAGGGATGAGACCGATTGAACTCCTGGATTCAGATAGGTAGGAACATCAAGATTTAGGACTATATTATTTGAAACAAATCAACTCATCCATGATGACTGTAAGCGCCTACAACAATTTTTTGAACTATATCTCCAACCTCCCTTCAACAAAAGCTGGACCCAAAATTGTCTCATTTGCTCCATTTGGTGGATAACAAAGAGTCATTAGAGAATATATCAGAAAATGATGACTACCTAAAGCACCAGCTGGAAATTTCACTGAAGATGCAGTTAGTTAGGGGATTGTGGCAAATTTGTCCACAAGCTTACTGTCCATTTGTTTCAGAACGTTTACTGGCTCTTGCCCTAAAAATTGCTTCTCAAAGCAACCTGTTGCTGCGTGTTCTCCATTTGTTTTGCAATTCCTTCAAGGGAGAACACTGACTTTGGATGTACTTAAGTTACAGTACTTTTTCGACCACCCAGAAAGCCTGTCATTGTTGAGGGGCATCCAGGTCTTGATAAAAAGAAATAAGAGGTCACCCAGAACAGATTTTTCAGTCCTGGAAACATGTTTGGACAAATCACAGGCACCAATTATAGATCAGGACTATGCTTCTGCCTTTGAACCTATGAATGAATGGGAGCGAAATGTAGCTGAAAAAGAGGCTAGCATAAAGAGTTGTCTGAATATCCAGCGCAGGGCACCACCAGACATCAGTACTGGCTATTGGAAACTATCTCCAAGGCAGTACAAGATTCCCTGTCTGGAAGTCCATGTGAATGATACTGATGCTGTAGACCAGGAGATGCTCAGGATTCTAATGATGGTTTTCTCAGCTTCAGAGTGCCTCAAACTCCATTTAAACCACAGCAGAGTCTTTATTGAAAGCATCCGCCCAGCTCTTGAGCTGTCTAAGGCCTCTGTCACCAAGCACCCTGTAAGCAAATTGGAACTTGGCACAGCCAAACAGGAACCCCTTCTCATCCTGCCTTCACTGGAATCTCTTGAAGTCTCAGGGACAATCCAGTCAACAGGTAAACCTGCATATATTTTGGATGACTATTCTGATGTATAATTTTATTTTCTCATTTAGTTCTAAGTGGTTGAAAATTCTGAGGCCATGAGAGCATGAATGCTCATTGATAAGAATAGATAAAATAAAGCTTCATTGTTTTTTGGTCAGTAGCATGAATTAGTGAAAAATCCCTGAATAATAGAATGCTTTCCAAATAACTCAGATAAAATGAATACAATATTAATATTAAATTATTGAAGACTCTTAATAAACAGACAAGATTTGTTATTAGTAAAAGAATTAGCTATATGTAAGATGATGCTTAGAGATTACCTTCACCCTTGCTGCCTAAAGAAAGGGCTATAGTCCCTGGAAAATAAATATATAAATGGGAAATAATATTTTTACCTATTTGTGTCTTCTTTAACTCCTCTAAGCACTATTTGATAGTTTTCAGTGTAGACTTTACCCATCTTTCATTAAATTTATTCCTAGGTACTCATATCTTTTGACAGTATTGTAAATGTCGTTAAAAATAGTTTTTCGGCCAGGTGCGGTGGCTAACGCCTGTAATCCCAGCACTTCGGGAGGCCGAGGTGGGCAGATCACAAGGTTAGGAGTTTGGGACCAGCCTGACCAACATGGTAAAACCCTGTCTCTATCTAAAAATAGAAAAATTAGCCAGGTGTGGTGGTGAGTGCCTGTAATCCCAGTTACGTGGGAGGCTGAGGCAGGATAATTGCTTGAACCTGGGAGGCAGAGGTTGCAGTGAGCCAAGATTGCACCACTGCACTCCAGCCTGGGCAACAGAGTAAGACCGTCTCAAAAAAAAATTTTTTTTGGCCGGGCGCGGTGGCTTACGCCTGTAATCCCAGCACTTTGGGAGGCCGAGGCTGGTGGATCACGAGGTCAAGAGATCGAGACCATCCTGGTCAACACAGTGAAACCCCATCTCTACTAAAAATACAAAAAATCAGCTGGGCATGGTGGCGCGTGCCTGTAATCCCAGCTACTCAGGAGGCTGAGGCAGGGGAATTGCCTGAACCCAGGAGGCGGAGGTTGCGGTGAGCCGAGATCACGCCATTGCACTCCAGCCTGGGTAACAAGAGCAAAAACTCCGTCTCAAAAAAAAAAAAAAAAAAAATTTTTTTTTCATTTTCTAATTGTTGCTAGTATTGCTTTGGTCTTAAGCAGTTTGACTGTTATATGCCTAGGTGTGCTTTGGTTTGTATATATCTTACTTGAGGTTCACTGAACTTTCTTGGGATCTGTGAGTTGATATTTATGAAATTTAGAAAAATTTTCATCTTTTTTCAAGTACTTTTTTATTATGGTAAAATATATGTAACAAAACTTACATTCTAATCATTTTTAAGTGTACCACTCAGTGGCATTACGTGGATTCACTATGTTGTACAACCATCACCACCATCCATCTCCAGAATCTTTTCATCATCCCAAACGCTGTATTCATTAAATAATAAATCTTCGGGCCAGGCACGGTGGCTCAGGCCTGTAATCCCAGCACTTTGGGAGGCCAAGGTGGGTGGACTGCCTGAGTTCAGCAGTTGGAGATCATCCCGGGCAACACGGTAAAACCCTGTCTCTACTAAAATAGAAAAAATTAGCTGGGCATCGTGGCGGGCACCTGTAGACCCAGATACTCAGGAGGCTGAGGCAGGAGAATCGCTTGAGCCCAGGAGGCGGAGGTTGCAGTGAGCTGAGATTGGCCACTGCACTCCAGCTTGGGCGACAGAGCAAGACTCCATCTCAAAACAACAACAACAACAAAACAATAAATCTTCCCTCCAACCAGCCCCTGACAACTTCTCTTCTATTTTCTGTCTCTATGAATTTGCCTATTCTAGATACTGTTTATAGGTGGAATCACTTGTTTGGCTTATTTCACTTTGGATATTGTTCAGGGTTCACTATGTTGTAGCATATATTGGAATTCATTGCTTCACATGTACCCCATAAATATGTACAATTATTATGTATCGACTTTAAAAAAGAACTTCATTCCCTTATATAGCTAATATTCCATGGTATGTAGTACATTTTGTTTATCCACTGTCTGCTGAGGGACACTTGGGTTGTTTCTACCTTCTGGCTATCATGAATAATGCTGCAATGAACACTGGCATTGTAAATATCATTTTAAGTTCTTGCTTTTAATCATTTTGGGTATATATCTAGAAGCAGAATTGCTGATTCATATGGTAATTGTGTTTAACTTTTTGAGGAACTTGTATAGTACCTGCACCATCTTACATTCCCACTAGCAATGTACAAAGGTTCCAATTTCTCCACATCCTCTTTAGCACTTGTTAATTTTTGTTTTTGTTTTTGTGGAGACAAAGTCTCACTCTGTTGCCCAGGCTGGAGTGCAGTGGCACAATCTCGGCTCACTGCAACCTCCACCTCCCGGGTTCAAGCAATTCTCCTGCCTCAGCCTCCTGAGTAGCTGGCACTACAGGCGTGCACCACCACACCTGGGTAATTTTTGTATTTTTAGTAGCGATGGGGTTTCGCCATGTTGCCCAAGCTGGTCTAGAGCTCCAGAGCTCGGGAAGTCCGCCCACCTTGGCCTCCCAAAGTGCTAGGATTACAGGTGTGAGCCACTGCACCCAGCCTATTTTTGTTTTCATTGTTATTTTTCAGACAGGGTCTCACTCTGTTGCCCAGACTGGAGTGCTGTGTTGCAATAATGGCTCACTGCAGCCTTAACCTCTTGAGCTTAAGTGATCCTCCTGCTTCAGCCTCCCATGTAGCTGAAACTACTGGCATGTGCCACCATGCCTGGATAATTTTTTATTTTTTTGTAGAGACAGTCTTGCTATATTGCCTGGTTTGGTCTGGTCTGTGGTCTGTCTCTCTTCTTTCTCTCTCTCTCTTTCTCTGTTTCTTTTTCCCCCCATCTCTGTTTCTCTCTCTCTTTCTCTGATTTTCTCTCTCTTTCTTTCTTTCTGAGACAGTCTTGCTCTGTTGCCCAGGCAGGAGTGCAGTGGCACGATCTTGGCTCACTGCAACCTCCATCTCCTGGGTTCAAGTGATTCTCCTACATCTTCCTCGCAAGTAGCTGGGATTACAGGCTCCCGCCACCACGCCCAGCTAATTTTTGTATTTTTATTAGAGATGGAATTTCACCACATTGGCCAGGCTGGTCTCGAACTCCTGAACCTCAGGTGATTCACCTGCCTTGGCCTCCAAAGTGCTGGGATTACAGGTGTGAGCCACCGGGCCCAGCCCCTAGTCTGGTTTTGAACTCCTGGCCTCAAACGATCCTTCCGCCTTGGCCTTCCAAAGTGCTGGAATTACAGGCATGAGCCACTACACCCAGCCCATTTCGTTTCGTGATGATTCTCATAAAGCCATTCTAGTGGTTGTGAAGTGGTATCTCATTGTGGTTTTGATTTGCACTTCTCTAATGTCTGAATGATGTTGAGCATCTTTTCATTTTTTGAAAAAAATATCTATTTGCTCATTTAAAAATTGTTGTTTTTGTTGCGTTGTAAGATTTATTTGTATATTTTGGATTTCACATCCTTATCAGATAGATGGTTTGAAAATATTTTTCCCATTCCATAGGTTGTCATTTCACTTTCTTTATAATGTCCTTTGATATACAAAAGTTTTAAATTTTGACAAAGTCCAATTTATCTGTTTTTTCTTTTATTGCTGGTTCTTTTGTTATCATATCTAAGAATCTACTGTCAAATTCAAGGTCATGAAGATTTACTCCTATGTTTTTTTCTAAGAGTTGTATGATTTCAGCTTTTATATTTAGGTTGTTGATCCATTTTGAGTTTATTTTTTTTTTACATGGTGAGAGATAGGAATCCAACTTCATTCTTTCGCATGTGCAGATCCAGTTGTCCCCAGCCATCTGCTGAAGAGATGCGATGTGTCTTTTGCGAGTCCAAAGAGTAGCACAGTACGTAATCAGTAAATGCTGCAAACAGCAATATCTTCACATGTTCTCTAAAAAAAAAAAAAAAAAAAAAAAAAAAAAAAAAATTTATGGTATGTGGAAGATTTGCATGTGAAAATAGCTGGATGAATCAAAATGACAGTTTAAAAATGTTCATTCAGTATCAAGGGCACAAGACTGATGCCTAAGGAAAAAAAATGTTCATTCAGAACTCTTTAGTTTAATAATGGGAAAACTGTGTGCTGCTTTCCAGACCAAGTCTTTCCTAATCAGGGTAAGTTCCTGTGCCTGAATGAACTGTGAATCTGGAAGGCAAAATAAATATTTTTCAATCATTCCTGAAGAATTTCCAAACTTCCACCATACGGAGAAATTACTGATCCAAATTTCAGCTGAGTATGATCCTTCCAAACTAGGTAAGGATGGCACTTTAATATATTTGTTTTTACATCAGTTGGAAAAGCTACTTGGCCAAAATTTATTTAAGAGGTAAAGGTCCTGTGTGGTTCTAAGGGTGTAGCCTGTATCCATGGTAAATTGTGTCGAAAAGCACTCTTTCTTACTAAGATAGCCGAGGGCTATTTGTAATTATTGAGCCTTTACTACATACAAGGAAGTGTCCTAAGCATGTCACAAATATTAGCTGAGTCTTCATACTCACTCTATGAAGTACAGTACTATTATTAATGCTATTTTGTAGCTGGGAAAACTGAGACATTAAGAGATTAATTAATTTGCTCAAGGTTATCCAGCTAAGAAAATGTAGATCTGTGTCTCAGACACAGGAATTTTGACTCCAAAATCAGAGCTCTTAATCCGTAATATAGGCCAGGCATGGTGGCTCATGCCTGTAATCCCAGCACTTTGAGAGGCCAGGATGGGTGGATCACCTGAGATCAGGAGATCAAGACCAGCCTGACCAACATGGTGAAACCCCATCTCTACTAAAAATGCAAAAGTTAGCCAGACAATGCAAAAGTTAGCCAGACATGATGGCGCATGTCTGTAATCCTGGCTACTTAGTCGGCTAAGGCAGGAAAATCACCTGAACCCAGCAGGCGGAAGCTGCAGTGAGATTGCGCCATTGCACTCCAGCCTGGGCAACAAGAGCGAAACACTGTCTCAGGGGAAAAAGAATCCCTAATGTTACCACTCCAAAATAATTTGCAGGATTATTTTGTTTTTGCTTAGGCTGGTCTTACATTGCAACTTACAGATCTGCCAGCTCAGCAGGAAGGAAATCTGCTGATTGGAAGCATCTCCCTGTTTCTCAACAGCCTATCCTAATAGTTCATAAAAATGGTGCAGTCATCTTTCTTAAATATATCATTTAGCAAAATGACTTAGGCACCATCATTCCTTAATTTAGTAAACACTGGACACTAAAGATTGAAGAAATATACAACTGCATGGAATTGACATAAAGAGCTGCATGCAAAAAAATTAGTTGTTGGCCAGGCACAGTGACTCAACAACTGTAATCTCAGCACTTCGGGTGGCCAAGGTGAGAGGATCGCCTGAGAGCAGGAGTTCAAGACCAGGCTGGGCAACATAGCAAGACATCATCTCTAATAAAAAATAAAAATAAAAATAAAAAAATTAGCCAAGTACGATGGTGTGCACCTATAGTCCCTAGCTACTCAGGAGGATGGTAGGATCACTTGAGTTCAGAAGTTCAACCTTTCAGTGAGCTACAATCACGTCGCTGCACTCCAGCCTAGGAGACAGAACAACACCCTGTCTCAAATACAAATGTATATGTATATACATTGAAGCTGGAGGTGGTAGCAATTTTTAAAACAAACTTAGGTTTTGCTTCAGAGTTGTCATTCCTTTTATGTTTCTTCTTCTATCTTCTTCAGAGTGACGGAGTCTCATTCTGTCACCCAGGCTGGAATGCAGTGGCACCGTGTTGGCTCACTACAACCTCCATCTCCGGGGTTCAAGCAATTCTTCTGCCTTGGTCTCCCAAGAAGCTGGGATTACAGGTGCCTGCTACCATGCCCAGCTAATTTTTTAATATTTTTAGTAGAGACGGGATTTCACCATGTTGATCAGGCTGGACTTGAACTCCTGACCCTCAGGTGATCCACCCACCTCGACCTCCCAAATTGCTGGGATTACAGGTGTGATCCACCACACCCAGCTCTTTGTATAGTGTTCTTTTTTTTT